ATGAACTGTCTGAGGAATGAAATGAATGTGGTACCTGTGTCTTTCAAAACAAATACCTGAGACAAGGATTTAAATGCTTTTCATAGATAAGAATCTGCAGTCATCTCGGCACATCCTGAGATTATTTACTACTCAATCTAGCATCATTTCACACTGTTATGTTCTTTAAAAAAAAGAAAAATGTTCCAGATTCCAAAAGATTTTGCTATTAAGTGGAGAAGAGACATTAAGTATGGAAAGCATTTAGCCTGTGTCTACACATTCTTCACCTGGCAAGCTTCTGAAACGCCAACACATCAGCAATGGGTAAAATCTGGTGGTATTTGGCTTTTTCAAGGCTATGTCAGTGTATGTTGAAATTAACATCTTACATTGGTTTGCTGGTGCTGTAGCTTGCATGACTTCAGTCACACAAGAGGCTGCAGGAACAACCTGTCACGTGTCCTTTTCCAATGAATATCCCAAACAGTTGTAAACAACAAAATAGTTTTACTTCAATAATCTGACTCACAATGTCAAATTTGGCACTCAACAGCAGAAAAATCCAACAATGGCATTTACCCATAATATAGAAAGTAACTGCATTCATAAGAAACTAAAAGTACTGTGGAAAAAATAATTCTTAATGTCCTTATCTTACTTTCGGTATCTCCTATATAACTGCATGTGCAGATGCTTCTCCGGAAGAGCTCTTAAACTGAATCCTTATCTCCTCCCCATCTCTGTCTGCAGCAGTCAGGGGAGGAGGGGGAAGGAAGCCAGCTGGAAATCCCAGGGTGCATTTAATGGAGTTTCCTGACCATTTGGGACTCAGCAGTATGTGCAGGAGCTTTCAACACCTTCAGAGGATATAAGCATGAAATCAGTGCCTGTCTGGTGGCCCATCTTCTTTGTGCCCTAGAGATGGTGTACCTGTTACAGGCAAAACCTTTTTGGCTGTCATCTGCTTTCCTTGCAGTCTTATCCCTCCCATCTCACCGTTGGGGACAGTATCTATTCTCTATAAAACCAGTAGCAAATCAAGACCAAAGCTTGTTCTTTTCCTCCCACACCATTTCTAACATCTTAGCTTCCACTGGAGTCAAGTTTCACGTGAGCCTGCTACATGAGAACAGAATGCCACTATGGACTCCAGGAGGTGAAAAGGTGACAGTGATAGTCACGAATCTCTGCAACAGATAGGTCAGTGCATGGTGTGTGGGATACAAAAGTTATTTTCAGGAACAATGCTATTTACCTCATGATTTGAAAGACAGGCCAGGATTTCCATGGCACAGCCCCAGTTGGTAAGTAACTTATGGGAGAGGCTATGATCCCATTTTGAAATGGTTATTTAACCGTCAGAGCTTCCCCACTCATGCTGTGATTTCTAAGAGGTGTTTCACCACCTTGCTTTGCATGTTTTGTCGGATGCATTCCAAAGAGTTCAAACTCAGAAAGATTAAATAATGCCCAGACAGATTCCTGATGTGGTCTCCTGCCCACTGCACTCAGCAAGTGAGAGCTCATGGAGAAATGAGGTACACATGATGAAGTAGCTTTATGGTGGGAAAAGATGACTGGTTTTATTTTGCCTCCATTACTTGTTCTTTTTTTTTAGCAATGGAAATACCAGTAACTAGTTTGAAGTTTCTTGTTGTCTCCTGTTTTACTTTTTATGTAAGTGTGGGAAAAGTACCTAGATAGAAGGATGCACTTTAGTAAAATGTTTTCTTCCAGAAATGCATTCCAAAATGACTATTTACGTTTTGTCTTCTCCCATGTAATCCACCATCATTTCCTACCTATAACAGTTAGATAGAAGGATGCACTTTAGTAAAATATGTTTTCTTCCAGTAATGCATTCCAAAATGACTATTTAGGTTTTGTCTTCTCCCATGTAATCCACCATCATTTCCTACCTATAACAGCTTATACATTCTTTAATAACTCAGACCTTTTTCCCATATATATGTTCACTATCAGTTCCCACTGTTGCATCCCTCTCAACTTCACTATTTTAGAGAATATGAATAAAGGCCCTCACCTGTCAAAGCAATTATTCCAGGATGATAGGAGCCCCACCTTTTACCAGGAAAGACCAAGGGCAAATGTGTTGGGTGTTTTGAAAAGGAATGTGCCAAAGGATTGGAAATCTCAAAACTAGGTCAAAATACACTATCATGGCAGATGGAAACGGCAGTCTTCTTCAAAAGAGAGTAACTGAAACCCACAGAAATTATATTTGACCTCTAATATTTCCTAGCATTACAGAACTGTAATACTGCAATTATGTAATTACATAGTCTTATTCACAATTAATGCATATTAAGGTATATTAAATAATGAAAATCCTAATCTTACATAGTCTTAATGATCAAATCAAAATCAAACCAAAAGGTCTTCATAAATTTACTTGTACACAACTACTCTGTCTTCTACAGATTGTTTTATAGACTGTATTGTAAAATTTACTTTGGCCATTTTGACTTTTAATTGAAGGACTGTGCATGTGGCATTGACATAAATAGATGGGAAAAGAGAAAGAGAATAGAAGTGTAAATGACTGTCAGGTTTCCATTTGATGCAAAATACTCCCAAAATAGAGGATGCATCCCTATAATTTCATTATTTTCTTCCCCAGAAAACAAAAGCACAACTTAAAGTAAAAAAATGTATTACTTGTTATAAATATTTTTAAGGATATGCATAGCAAGGATAAAATTCAACAAAGCAATATAGTAAAAATTGGAACACGCACCATTAAATGGAATAATGAAAGACTTTTTCTAAATAAAACAAGTTATCCCATCTAATAAACAAATTGTTGTATACTATCCTTTAATTTTTTTTCAATTAAATTTCAGTGCTATATAACTTCAACTATTCACTTATTAGTTTTGTAGAGGTTCTTGCTTGTTTCTGATTTTAAAAAAATGCTTAACTCTGGACAGCAGATTTTTTTTTTAATTTCAGAGTTGACATACAGAAATATTTCTTTACTGAGAGGCAAGTCAAACACTTAACAGACTCTTCCTACAAAGATGTGGTCAGTGCCCCAAGCCTGTCAGTGTTTAAGAGGCATTTGGACAATGCCCTAAATACCAGGCTTTAATATCTGGTGGGCCCTGAAGTGGCCAGGCAGTTAAACTCGATGATCCTTCTAACAATGTAGGTCCCTTCCAACTAAAATATTCTATTCTATTCTATTCTATTCTATTCTATTCTATTCTATTCTATTCTATTCTATTCTATTCTTTAAAGACTACTTTTTGTTAGTTGTTGATGGAACATTTATGTTGATACATTTTTTCATGCTTATTCTTTTAGGCAAGGATTTGAAATTTATATGGGAGCAGTTAATGTCAGTACCAGACATTAACAAAGAGAACTTCCATTGTGTACACCAAGGCCCTGCACAGCACGAGATTCATTCAGCAGCAGGTCTTTGTTACTTAGCCCTCCTTTTAGTGTTTATGCACTTGTGGATCTTTTCTTGTTGACTTTCACATCCCTTAACAGATTCAACTCCATGCTGGCCTCGACTTCTCTAACCCTGTCCCTGAAAGTTCAACCAGATTCCACCTCTTGTGTGTAGAATCCATTTCATGTCTGATTTTAGGTAGGAGCTCCTTGTCATCCATGCAGTCCACCTGCCACTTTCTCTTGGATTTTTCCCCTCACTTCTTTCCTGTCATTCATAAAAGAGAACAGGAAAGGCCAAGCCATGATGATACAACGCAAGGACAGACCACCATGTGGCACTTTTTACAGTGATTGTATAAGAGTGCGAATTTTTAAAATTCCAGGAACACTTGAAGATTGCTCCCCATGGCTTTTCCTATGGGTAGAAGATGAGTCCAAAGTGTGCAGTAGAGATATTTACACATGCACTTTGCAGCATATTAAGACAGGGAATCAGGTTCTCCTGTCACAACAATGGGCTGCACTGTCTCAAGTTGACTCAAAGAACACTGAAATCGCACCCTGTTAATGCTAAAAATTAAAAGGGGTCATTTCTGCAAAAAGATATAAATTTGCTGTTTTTCAGAGCTTGGGAGCTGTGAGCAAGACCATGAATAAATAAGTAAAAAGAAATGAAAATTACTCACAGACTATTAATTGCTTTGGCTGTAAGTGATGAAAAAGCCAAACTGTGACAATTTTCTTTGCTGAACTATGTGGTGATCCAAGACCCATTTAACACCAACAATGACATTATAGAAAGGGGAATAAAAAGAGAGGAAGGAAACTGATGAAAGTTAGCAAGGGTGCTGGAAGTTGCAGCTGGCAAGTACAGCCACCCAAAAGCTGCTGTGGGTAGATGAGCTGGCAGAGGGCCAAGATCTGTTTGTGCAGTTTGATCCAAAACAAAAAATGAAGTCAAAAGGGCTTCTTTTAATTTGCTTGCATTACTTGCATTGTTCTCATCCTCTGTGTGTCTTGATAAGAATTTTCTCTTCCAGCAGTCACATCAGAAGCCATGGCTGCTACTTTTCATCTCACCTTCACCATTCGCTTTTCCTATTCCTGCACGCAGTTGCAGGATGAATCTTGTTTTCTAGATCAAACAATCCAACACTGCACTGTGTGTGAGCCCTGAAGAGGGGCCACAATGTGAGAACGCCCTGTCCTCGTCCTCTTGAGAGCAATGACCCAGAGGCCATGGGCAAGTTAATCAAGCACACTCCTGCAGGCAGGCAGAAAAAGTCCTCCAGGGGAACAGATCTTATGGTATCACTTGCAGCTGCTCAATTCATGGACTGGGATCATGAAAAAAATCAAATCAGGTAGTCAGGGCTGGCTTCCAGTAAACAGAACCCAAGGTACGTGGTTGGGCCAGTATCTGCCAGCATGGGAGGGAGGTGGGAGGTGCCAAAGCCCTACATCCCTCAAGTGCCAAATCTGATATTTCTCTCAGCAGCAGCAAAAATAGCTCAAGAGTGCACCAGCTTAATACAAGCAGTTTGTTTGACCTAGATGTCATTTTTATTCCCCAGGTCCTCAGCCCTAGGTTTGGGTTCCAAAGTAGTAAAAACAGAGATTTTGTTTGACTCATTTTTGTTTGACCTCAGTATATGAAAAAGAAGACAAAACTGGTGGGAGGGATAATTACTTGTGGTACCAATATACATGGTGTAAGGAAAAGGTGAGTGAAAATGTGATGTTGTTGGTTGAGAATTAGACCTTGTTTAAGATGCAGTGTCTCAAAATAATTATAATCCAGAAGGTATTTTAGATATCTTTCCTTTGTTTGCTGTCTTCCTTTATTCCTTCCCTCCTAACAATGAACTACCTTAGGAGCTCTGAAGTCCAGTGTATTTTACCTGTGTGAAAAGCAGAAAGGGACAAATTTGGCTCCATCACACTCACATGTTCTCTAAGGACAGATAAGACTAATTTTTTGGAAGAAAAATTTGGTTTTAACCCAAAGGGTGACATGTGGGGGTTACCACGTCCTGAGGAACCTGAGGATTTTGTACCTTTGACTTTGTTTATCTCACTGACTTTTGCAATGCTAACTGTGGAAACCATGAGTGATACTAGCTTTCCATTAACTATCACCTACGACCTAGTTTAGTATTTGACGTTTGTGTTGCTTGTTACTTTAGTTCCAGGAATTAATGACTCCCTGGAGGAAATTGATCAAAGCAGGAACCAGACAGTTAACATAATACTGTATGTATATCAGAGAGTTGTACTGGGGTTTCCAAGAATTACTGAGATTTGAATGGGTATTTTTGAGACACACAGACTTTGATGATGTGACTAAGCTGAAAAAGGTCTCATTGGACAAACAGTTTTGTTGGGACTGTGAACATTTTAGGTAGGGATCTAAGAGGAATGAAAATGAGCCTAAAAAACATCATGGCAGCACTTCTGGGTGTATTTCCAGCCATCAATACGTAGTACTAGGCATGGCAGACAAGCTCCTACTCTTAAGAAATTTGCAGCAAAATGTAATTCAGGGGTCTCAGGCAGCATGGTGTATGTGCCCAGAGCACTCCACATGCACCATGACTGACTTGATCATCTGCCAAGAGAGCCCCTCTATGAGAAAAAGATTACTGTACATTTTCTGATGCCTCATCAATGTCTCTCAGTTTCTGAAGGGATGGTTCCAAGATGAAGCTAGGCTGTTCTTGGGGTGACAAGCAATAGGACAAGAGGCAATGGGCACAAAATTGATGCACAGAAAATTGCACCTGAATATAAGGAAGAACTTTACTGCGCATGTGACTGCAACACCAGAACCGATGGTCCAGAGAGGGTGTTGAGTTTCTCTCACTAGAGATACTCAAGAACAACCTGACCACAATCTTGTGCCATGTGCTCTGGAATGAGCCTGCCTGAGCAGGGAGGCTGGAACAGATGACCCACTGCAGTCCCTTCCAACCTTACCTGTTCTGTGCCTCTGTGATTGATTCTGTGATTCTGTGTGGTCACACCTCTGCACAGCTGCCTTGTCCTGGTTTGCTTCAGGGCTTTGGTCTCCTCTGATTGATACAGCTGTGAGAAGATACAGCTGGGAAAAGAGATACTCATATTCTGATAATATTTTTTTTCATTGTATGAAGAAGGTCCTGCATTTCTGATTTGTTTGTAGCTATAGATAAGCCATTTTTTATTTCCTGTTGTCATTTCCTCCGCTTCCCTCCAGCATCTGGTATAAAGTGATCAAATAGTAAATCCAGAGATTATGATTACTCATTTCTTCACAGTCTGTTGTGTCATTTCAACCATGAGAACCATCTTTCAAGCATATTCAATGATCTTCATACTAGGCAACATGGTGGCTTCTCAGTCACAGTCATCTGGTAAGTTCAAATCCCCATATATTTATTTAGAAATTGATATATCAGCTAACAATATTTCTGTGTATATTTTACCTCATATGTTACAATATTCAGTGCTTTTTCTGATTAGAAGATTGAATCAAAAATATTAATATCCAGCAGAAATAAAAGTGGTCCTCTAAACACAGATTTCTATGAAAGTTTTCTAACAGAGTAGTTTGCAGCCGAAAAAGACTAGCCTTCAATGAACAAAGAAGGAACATTCAAAGTAAGACATCTGCACTTAGTACTCTGAAAGAATGAACACTATGGGAAAAGATCAGCAATACTTTTCTCCTGAGAAAGCATCAAGATAAAAATACTATTACACAGCAAAATTATTAAAGACCAGTTGTTTGTCTGCCTAAGAACATCTCTGTCTTAGGTATTTGTCTGCAATGCCATTAGTCATAGCTTGTCAAAGATAAATGCATTATTACAGAAATCAAACGTAAAGCTCAACACCCACATCAAAAATCTAATTCTCACTCTAGTTAATTTCCCACAAGTTCCCTGTAATTCATTTTATAAGGAAAAATAAACTCTTTAAAGTTATAATCTCATGCTATCAACCTATAAGTTACCTCTGTGTTCTGCCATACATATGGTAAATACCATTTTTGGCAATGCTGAATGCTGCACCACCTGATTCCCCAGGGTTAATTGTCCCCGTGAGTCACTGTCTGTCCTGTGAGGGAAGGTGACTTCTCTGCCCTGACATGACAATCACCTACAGCCATGCAGTGGTAATGGCATGCCTTTGTGGAACAAAATTTGAAAATTAGAGCTGTGGTGCCTATTTTATTGTGATGCCTGGCAATGGTCAGCAACCTTCTGGGAAAAACCCCAAAGCACTCAATTTGGTAGATTCTACAAATTATGCTATAAGAATTATACCTTGTCTCAAAATGTCTATAAAAAACATTCACTTGCTGGTTTTTTCCTCTTCTTGAAAAGATGTTTGCTATTCATTCTCTGTCCTATGTGTTCAATTCAGCAGCCTTGTGCACAAATGGCACTTTCGCTTACTTTTGTTCCTATCAAAAAACAAAACTGTCCTTCAGCAACATTAAGGGTAACTAAAGCCTATAGGTTCAGATCTGGGTCTTGTTCTCCAGTAGTTTCTCTACAGTGTACTGCAATATGTGGAAGTTCAACATGTGGTTACTTATCAGGTTCCATCAGTGTAAGGAAATCAAAAGTGGTTTTTCTTCTTTGTTATGCATCAATGAGGTTGCAACTGTTCCAGTATATACATGTTTCATTCTGTTATCTTTGAAGATTGATATTCTGCCTCTCCCTTTCTTTTTTAAAATTTGTTCCATGACATTTAGCCTTTTTGCATGTTCCCTTTTAGTAACATCTTTTCTCAGTAATAAACTTTGAAAAATAGAAAGGAGGTGGAATGCAATTGCTCATACTCTTTCTCATGGTTGTATCTGCATAATTTTTTGCTCAAGGAAATGTTGGGTTTTTCTCCCCTGTAGAACTACTTTCTCCATACACCATAGTGGTATTTTCCATGCTTCTCTGTCCTGAGAAGAATTAGGTGGCCAGCAGGGCCTGTGGTGTTCAAGTCTTGTGCGGCAACTTACCAGTCTCTGTCTGGTTTTATGGAAGGTGTAGGCTTGGATAATTCTCTGTGAAGCTCTTGCCCCAGGGCACTGGTATGTATCCTGCAGCACTGCAGCATGCTGCATACCTAGGTAGACCAGCAGGTCATCTTCAGACAGAAAGTTTTGTCACCTCTTTTAGCCCAGGGACTGCCCATTCATAACATTTTTGACCTTTTCATCTACCTATTATTATAATACAAAGAATAATTATGAATGTGCTGGTGTGGTGTATTGTATGACTCCAGGATCACAATTAGAAGAAGGCTTTAAATATTTGCAATTGCTGTGGGAGAGCTGACATATCAGCCAGGAATGATCTATGATGTCACAGCTGAATTAAAACAAATTCCATCATAAATTAAGGGAGAGAAATGGTCTTCTCTATTCTCTTTCTCTTTCCACCAACAGAAGATACAAATGATTCTGCCTGCAGAAGTATAGGTGTATAATTGCTTAAAACCAAATACCTTTTCAGTTAATGACAAGGGAAACATCATCAAAAAGAAAAAAATATATGTCAGATAAACTGTAGATATCCTCAGAGGATTTGATGCCAATTTAAGCTAAACTTTAAAGAAACTCAGTTAGGTTATGCTTGCCTTCATGCTGAAATTTAAATTATGTAAAATATACATGTTATAATTTGAAAAGACACATGCAAATACCTGCTGTACATTTACAAAAAGTACAACTCATTCTACATTCAAAAAGGCTTCACAACTCATGAAATTAGGAATCACAGAAGAAAATTTCTCTGACTAGAGCTCTGAAAACAAAGTCTTTAATGATAAAAGATTGGTAAGATTCTGTCCTACATACCTACTTAATTATGTTGACACTGACTTCTTATGAATTTTTTTAAAATTGGAGCACAAGAAAGAATATGTATATATAACCAGATGGTTTACTATAATTTGTATTCCATTTCAATTAACTTTCTATGTCTTGTTAAAGAATAGACTGTTTATTTTCAGTACACAAATAACTGCAGTTGTTGGAGTTTATACTTTTATTTTTAAATCCCATGATTTTAATCCATAATATGTAGGGATATTTTGCAGAAAAAAAGTTCTGATTTAGAAATATTTATTTATGTTATTAAGTTGATACAATCTGACCAATCCTGCTGAAGTCAACTATTCAGAGTTAGGTCCATGAATAAATCACTGCAGGACTGGAGTCAAACTGATATTCTTTGCCATACAAAAATGTTCATTGCCAAACCCAAGATTTAGTCTTCACCTCTGAATTGCAGCCTCTAATAAGTAGTGCAGAGTAATAATATATTTGAAAAGATAGAGAATAAAGAGTGTTGTTTAAGGTTCAGAATTAATTGGTGCCTTTTTTTGCCTTCCAACAGGCTAGTCATTGTCCACTTTGTACTGTGTTGAAATGCCATGGGATTCCTCTGGTTGCCTTACTAGTATCCATCTCTAGAGCAGTCATACCTCAAACAATCCACTGAGAGTTTGGAGACATCATACTCCCTCTTGAAAGAATGCTATGGGAAACAGGGCTTTAATGCTGGTGTCTTTTTCACATTGGTATTGAGGGAAAATGTGGCACCCTGAAAAAGGATTTCAATAACTGACATGCACAGAGATGGAGTGGTGGCTTACAGCTTTACCAGATCTTTACTTCTCTGCTGGCATGTTGTAGGATATATAGTCACAGGTTCAAAGAGATTCCCAAGCATAGATCACCTATTTGAGAGGCAAAATCAGTCTAAATTTTGTCACCACATTAATTGTCAGATGTGTAAAAAAAATGGGATGAGCAATTTCTGTGTGCTCCCTCTCACAATTAATTAACCAGTGCTATCCCTCTTAATTCTAACAATTTCCCCAGAAAAATAATTTTCAAAGAAAAGAAAAAAAAGTAATTTATACTCTCCAATAAGATAAAATTAATTTAGAAAGAATAAACATTATAATATTCAAAACTTGGCTGGGATAACACTCATAGCATTGCAGTTTTTGTCTTTTTGAGATATTTAAAACAAACTTTTCCTCTCCCTGTCTCTGTTACAGTGTTCTGTACTTATGTATTACAGTGTTCTGTATTTATTTTTTTATCCTTTTCCCCTCTTCCTTCTTTTTTTCTGTACCTGTACAGCCCTTGTGACCAAATTGACTGAGCACCTCAGATCAACTATGATGGAAAGAGACTTTCTATAAGGGGCATGTAGTGACATGACAAGGGGTGATGGCCTTCTTAAAATGAAGACTGGATTTAGATTAGATGTTAGGAAAATGTTCTTTACTGTGAGGGTTGTGAGGCACTGGAACAGGTTGCCCAGAGAAGCTGTGGGTGCCCCATCCCTGGAATTGTTCAAGGTCAGGTTGGATGGAGCTCTGAGCAGCCTGGTCTAGTGGAACCATACCAAAAACATACCCTACAAAGAACATTTTGCTTTCTGTCATTCTGTCCAAATATTGTACACATAGAAAGAGCATCAGAAATTAATTTTGAAATTAATTACCCTTGAAAATATATAATTAAGAAAGCAAGTACTCTTCCTGTTCTTATTTTCATAATTAAAGGATGATCATTAGCAGTTCTTTCTCAAAGTGAAAATACAGGCAATCAGACTAGTTATCTAAAAGTAGAAAGTATATATTTTGTAACTTCTAAGGGGAATGGAAAGGAATCATTATATAGTCATAAAAATTATCTCAGGACAGTACAATATTCTCCATTCTAACATGTCTAGGCTTTTTCATTATGTCAATTTTATTTAAGGATGGAGAACATGAACTTAATACACATTAAATATACATTAAACTAGTTTTATAGAAAATCTAAGCCAAAAATTAAAGGATTTCAGTTGCACAATATACTGCACAGCACAACCATCCTAAAGTAGTCCATAAAAATTAAAATGTGTTAGTGCAATCAAGACCAAGAATCCACTGTTAGGCACTTTGCCTGCTTATTTCTTAGTGGCCTTAGTAAAAGACAAGATCATCTCTTAGACCTACAGAAGGGAATTACAAAGAGCTTGAAGTCTTATGAAAAATGAGTTGTGTAGGTACTTTGTTGCAACAGAGGTAGAACTGGCTGGATAAACTCCACTTTACTGTGCCCTTTAAGGCCTGTTTTTGCCCCAGCATGTAAAGATTTTCTGTTTGAGAAAACAATAACAAGTTTGCAGGCAGTAGGTAAGAGATGGAGGAGGTAGTTTCAAGTCCTTTTCTTGAATAAGAGATTGAGGAGGTAGTTTCAAGTCCTTTTCGTGAATAAGAGCAGAATCTTTTTTCAACAGCTCCAGGAGTCACATAGCAGAAACCTGAAGGTACATCTACCCAGTATGTCCTGGATTTTTGTCATAACAGAAATATGTCCTGGATTTTTGTCTTGACTGTCTTTGTCATAACTGTCTTTTTGACAAGACTATGTGTTACAACACAAGTACACCTCCACAAAAATGTTATAACTCTAATTAGAGTAGTCATAAAGTACCTAGACTCAGATAAAGGCATGAAGATAGGCAAAATGCTTACTTGAACCCATGTCTCACATTTGTGTTGATTACAGAGCAAAAGATAGCAACCATGAGAATAGTTATTCTTGATTCCCATGAAATGTCATGATTGGATATGATGAAAAGCCCATAAGAAATATTTTAAAATTTTAAACCCTTTCAAAAGTCCAGAGGAGCATAAAATATACACAGCAATCAAAGCTAAAATACTATATTTTCCTTTTAGACAGGAATATTCCAGGAAATAATTTTAGTGGTAGACACTTCACAGCTGGAAAGAGAAGTCTGAAAATTTTACCCTCAAGTGGTTTCTTGATGATATATTTTCTTCCTCTTTATTCACTCAAGTAAACACAATTTCATACCTTATAGAATGCAAAATAAATAATTTTTGATATAGAATGGATTTCTAATCCTTCTGCCTTCTTAATTTATCCATTTCTTCAATGTCAGGTTTATCTTCAGTGTCTGATTGTGGAATCCTGTGTCCCTAGCAAGAAGAGTAATAAGGAGATGATCAGAGAGGAAATAATATCTGCATGCAGTCAGGGCACATTAAATGATGGTGCTTGTATTTCAGGTGTAATGGGCCAAAGATCAAACACGCAATACATCTACTTGTGCTGATCTGCTCTGTGTTCCTGTGGGCTGCATTTCTGGTGTTAGCTCCTGGTTTCTTACAGCAAACATCTGACAGTTTACACAGATGTTCCCTACAGTGTTAGTTCCCAGTTTTCCTCAGCAGGTGCTTTGGGCAAAGTTGTCCTCAAGGTGTACCCCTCATGCAGTGTATGAAAATGGCCCAGTCTACACTTTTTGGCCCCGGGACCACGTGGCCAAGTCTCTCTCTCATGTCTCTGTGCATGCCTTCATTTCATTACTTTGAAATTCTAATTTCAACCTCCCCAAGTTGTTTTACTCTATTTCCTTGTATTTTTGATGTTCTTATGTCTTTTTGTGTTCATCTGAGCCTATTGCATGCACATCTTAGAAATACTTTGATTGTCTAAAATATCAAGGACAGACGCTTTTCATACTTGCTCCTGAAACCATATCCTCTGTAAATGTCCTGAGCAGGTGGGAAAGATGCCATCAACGTTACAATAATCAACTTCAATAACGAGAAGATGCAGATTACATGGGCAACAAGAGAGCTTTTTCCCAATGAGAATGTGTCGTTTTTTTACACGTGAGTATTTTCAGTGCCTATTCCTCTCTTGTTAAAGGATTACTTAGGGAGAATGAAAAGTCCATTTGAGTCTTCTATGAACTAGAAATTCTTTCAACATTTATTAATATCCAGCATCAAACTTATTTACATCCACAACTTACAGATGTGTACAAATCAATAAACCTGGTGAGTAATCAGTCATAACAGACATGATATGGAAGATTCGTCCCTCTTCTATCATTGTCCCTGTTCTGTGCATTGCTGATGCTAATTGCACCATTGAAAATTTTTTTCCACATGTGTATATATTTTCCTTGTTAACTGAGATAATTAATGACTAACAGAAGTGTAATATTTTGGTTAAAGACTGTCATAGTGCCTGTCTTTTGGTTCTGGGTTGTATATGGGGAACAACTTTTCACAGTACAGTCTTGAAAACAGGATCATGAGAGCATCTGTTTGAGCAAGTCATTCCCTTATTAGAAAACAACAGCATAAACAAAACTTGATTATTTCAGACTGCACCCAAACTCAGGGCTAGAAATTAGGTGAAGTTTGGGTGATGAATTCCCTCACACCACTATGAAATTTGTCACTTCAAGAAAAACCAAGCTCAGACTTTCCTCGGTGTAGCATTTAAAAAAAAAATAATGAGATTTAAAAAAATTAATTTAATTGTGCTAATTTTTAAGTTTTCCATTTACCAATATTATTTCATTTGCAGATTTGGTGAAGGCGAGAACAAAGTTTGGCAGCCATGTACCACCTATTTATTGGATCAAGATTATAATTCTGGATGCCTTTTTAAGACAGAAGGACCTACCCTTGCCATTTCTATCAGGAACAGCAATGGAAGTGAAGAACTTTTTTCTAAAAATCTAAAAGCTGATTTTTACAGTAAGTATGAAAAATCATGACTACTTTGGCAGATTTTCCAGTTCTCTAAGTTTGAGAAGAAATCAGTTATATGGCATATAAAATGTTAAAAGTGTGCACATCAAAACAAAACTCCAGTTATTTCATGCTGATTTTTGTTTCTTGCTGTAGTTACATAGGCTTGGTGCAGCTGCAGTTAAGTGAGATAACATAGGACAGTCAGACTTGTCCCAAAATACAATTTCAAAATCCAAAGGAAAATACTAAATGTATATATATGGGTGTTCTTTATCTAGTGCAGGCCTGCTGAGGAAGAAAATGAATAGTTTTTTGTCTTAGTGCTGACTTTGTGATATTTCTCATACTTTCAACCTTCATTCTTTTGCCATTTTTCATGCAATGCCAGGCAGCAAACTTCTTGTCAAAGATGCTGTCACAAAACCATTGTTGATGCCAATAGAAAATAGCTGAGTGGCTATGGTACAGTTTGGCAGAGGAAAAGGGACATCCTACTAGCAGGGAGATGATGTTACTTTTTTTATTAATTCTTTACTGTCCCCAAATACATATTTAACATCTAGTATGAGATTAATTTATCAAAAACTTCTGGAATTTTGCATACCTACATCATTCAAAGAGGAGCAAAATTTTTTTTCTAATAGAAATCACGCAGAATATATACCATGGAGAATTATCTGAAAATATATATATTCCAAGCTTATTAATAATGTCTTAGCAAGGGGATTAATCACAAATCTGTCAAGGCATCAAACTTTGAGAATGCTTTTATATCTCTGAATTTTACCAATATCTGTTAAATTATGGAAAACTGCAGCCTGGTCCTCAAATTTTCACTATTAACACTGGTAACGAAATTAATTTCAAAAAGGTTAGGTAACAAAGGACAAATATCAAGCATCATACTGAAGCCTTGAAATCAGGAAGGTAGAATTTTCATAATACAAGAAGGCAACTAGAAGGATTGAGAAAGCAGGTAGCACTCTTTTCATCCCTGCATTCCCACTGCTGAAGACTTAGCAGCTGTGTAGGTTAAACCATGGAGTTCTTTTCAGACCCTCTGGAAACAGTGAGGGGCAGATTCAGTTGTGCGTAGAAAGGAACCCAGGGCATTTGTAGCTGCCCCACCATAACCCACATAGCCTTCAGCAGCTGCAAAATTCTGTCTTGGAGGTTCTGTGGTAGTGAATTTGCCACTTCATTTCCCATGAGAAAGCTTGTTTCTTTGTCTGGATTGCAGGGAGTGCGAGGAGACTGAAGTCCTTTCCTTGAGTAGCTACAATAGGCTCCTGATATGACACAGTTACTGCCTTTGAATGTGGTGCCTCAAATGGTGAAAAGTGTCATGGTCTCAAACTCCACTTTGATGTTTAATAGAGAGGTCAGCTGCAAAAGCAAAACCTCCAAGAAGAATGTCCACCTTCTTCTCTTACTACTCAGTGAACTATTGGGCCAAGGAAGGAAAACAATTGTTTTATCTGTAAAGTGCATTTTAGGATGCAATAGCAAAATTTGTTTCTCTTCTTCTTAGTAAAGCCCAGTCCACCAGAAAATGTGACCTTCTTCTGGGAAGAGGACACGGTTACTGTAAGCTGTAACAAACCAGAGAGAAATGCATGGTGCTTGAGATTTGAGCTGCAGTTCAAAAGCAAGTTTGACAAAGAGTGGCAAGTGAGTTGTATGTCACATTTTTGGTCAACATTGAAAGCAGTAGACATCACATTTTTATTCAACACTAGAACGAGTTGGAAGTAGCATATCCATAGAATATAAAATACGGTTGTTTTCAAATTTTCTCCCATCCTATATTTTCAAATATATCTGATAGCAGAAAACACCTAGATTTTTAGAATCCTGGGTTTCTACCATGCCAGAAATAATTTATAAGTTAAAGACAGCTCCCACCCTAAGAGCTGAAGGCAATCTAAGGAAAAGCATACATTTTGAATAGAGGAGTTTGGAAAGATACAAGCAGAAAACAGATTAGGGAAAAGAAGAGAGAAAAAAAAGAAAAACTAATGTAACAGTATATATAAAAAAGAAATTACATAGGATTCTTATTTATTCTAAAATTAGAATAATAATAATACTGTTAAGTATTTCCCAATATTATTTCACTAACTTAAGCCTTTCCATTCTCAAATATAACTTGTAAATATTTTGTGGATTGGAGTGTCTTTGTGTATTGTAAATATGTAACTGTAACGTAGTGCACTATGCAATGATTGTTAGGACCTTCAACTCAATACCATGGAATGGATATGAATAGTCAAAAGCCAATCAAGAAACAGAATTCCTCAAAACTCAGAGAAGGTAACATTTGTTTCTGAGGTTTTGCATTGGCTGATTCCTTGTCCTAGTTGTGATCATGACTGAGTGCAGCATTTTGAAGCACTGTCTTGGAAACCAGAATTGACAATGATAATCCTTCTTTCCCAGTCCAGAACTTCTAAGTGCTGCAGTGTTGGAGACCAAGGCTTTGATCCAAGGAAGTGCTACTCTTTCCGGGTCAGGCTGAGGAGGCTGGTACCATACTGCAACGTAGTTAAATACAGCAGCGACTGGGCAGCTGAAACTTTTTGGATGAATGGCACATTATTAGGTAACAGCTAATATATATATATGTATATAGAGTCTAAGTGAAAAATAAAAAGGGGTGACTGCAAAAGAAGCTGAGGACATGCAGCAAATGAAAGTTGCACTACTGTTCTCCATTTTGTGTTATCAAAGAAAGTTCATGTGAATGTTTAATTGCACCTGTTTAATTTAACTGTCCACTTTTTTCCTGATGGCCCCTGAAGCCACCAATGAATGTCATAATCAGTAAAGTAAAGAGTGTCATTATTTGTGTTATGATAGCACTGAGGATCCCCCAGTGACAGTGATGTAATGCATGAGGGCTCTGTGGGTGTGTGTGTTGAAGGGGGGATGCCCGTATATGATATTTGGACATCAAATATGAACTCTAAGAAAATCCCTGATGTCCAATTTTTGAAAGCAGTTTGTTTTGCAAGTACATCCAGTTGAACTACAGGACCACAGGTCACAGAAGTCTGATACTCAAGGGTGCTGGATTGATCAAAATGAGGAGAATGGGGAAAAAGAGATTGAAGGGAAGCAAAGCCAGTATCAGCACTGCTTTCCTACTAGACAGTTGCATTTAACTAAGAGTGACTGACATTAATTAGATTGTCAATGCAAACAGTATTCCTACCACTTATCAAAACCAAATCCCAGATTTTCTGTAGGAAAAAAAAAAAGACTGTACCTGATACAAACTCATTTATGTTACCTAAGCACAAACTGCCACCCACTAGACTTTACCAGAATTATGAAGCCCTTAGTTGTTCAGTGTAACAAGATCTGAGTTCTCTAAAATGCAATGGGCTATTAAGCTCAGTTGAAGACAGCCTAGCTGGGATGAAATCCTGGACCACAGGTAGCTTGTACACTCATGGCCACAGTGCTGACCTACAGAGAAGACCCTTCCCCTATGCATACTGAGAACCTGCAAGCACATCCTCAGGTGTGGCTGGCAAATGCCCTTATGAAATAAGGACAATGTTTTCCTCTGCACTTCTGAGAACAGACAACTCATCAGCCTGACCTGAACCATTTGACCAGAGGCTGTCAGCAGGTACCTGCAAGGAAGGACATCACAGAGGAGACAGTATAAGTGGTTAAGAGATTCTGTGTGCCCTTGAAATGACATTGACACAGCTCCTTCACTGGGGCAAGCATTTTTCTTCAGGATTTTAATGAGTTATTGACTCCAAATCTATAATCAGATGAAGCCATGAAGCTTCAATAAATTAATAAACTCTGAAGACTTCACTTAGCGGGGGGGGGAGGGAGTGTCACAATTTTATTTGTGGTTACCTGGCAGGCAGCTAAACACAGCAAGGAGGTGGAACAGGCTGGACAGTTGCTTCTGTATGAATAATCATCCAGGGCTTTGGCATCTCTGTGGAGACCAGAAGGCCAAGTAGTAGGAGGCAGAGGCTGGAGGTGGTGTTACAAAAGTTGCAGGAAGAACACTGAGAATGCAGAAAAATACACAAATTCATTAGTTTTATATACTTGCATGTATATAAGGTGTTAGCCTGCCACTAGTTACTTTCTGGGTATCAGCTCCTGTGATTTTCTGGCTCTTTGTTTGCTGGAATTGTTTATTTGGTTGGGTTTTTTTGGTTTTTTTTTTTTTTTTGTTGGGAGTCCTTTTTGTTGGGCTACATGTAAACTTGCATTTGCAGCTTTAGTGATTGTAAGTAGGTGTACGTAATACAGATTTTAGCACAAGGTTGCTTTATCACTTTTAATGCAATGTGATGAAGGTGAGTAGAAATACTTGATTCATTCATAATGCATCTGCCTCTGCTGTTCTGTACCAGGTCAATTTAGATAAATAAAAGCACAATTTCATTTTGTTGCAAGGTTTCGGGAAGCAGAGATTTTCTTTTCAATCTCAACTGAAAAATTAAACTTGTCTTATTTGTTCTTAAAAACATTTCTGTTTTCTTTTCCTTTTTAAAGAAAAGTCAACATTTTTGCATGATTAGGATCATTTACTGTTAAAGTAAAAAATTTTTTTTGACATATTCTTTTTGTGATTATTCTTAGATTCATGTGATGATGATATAACTCCTCAGTCAAAGACAGTAATTATTTTAAGTTGTTCACTGGCGGTACTCTTAATGATGCTTATCCTCCTGATCCTTCTGTGTAAATGGCAGAGGTAAATATAGTTTTATTGGTTACTACTAAATAACTATGTTGTGAAAATAGAGCTATCACTCTGGATGAAGCCTCTTGTGATGAAAATTCTTGTCAGGCAAATGAAGTCATGGTGAAGATGTAGAAGTCAGTAGCTTAATCACTGTTTGAGGAACAATACATCCCTTCCAAACACCCAGGCCTTCCATTTGCAAAACTGGAAAAATTCTGGTGAAAGACAATGTTTCAGGATAAAATTCTGTCTCTTCCATGTAATTTCTTCTCTTTTTAAGAAATTTAATTAAATTCTGAGAAGCCAATTTTACTAGCTACTTCTTCTGAAAGGACATTATTTTGTTCAACCTTCATCAATTAATCAAAATGTCTGTTTGTAGTAGGATAAAGTAAACTTTAGTGCATTTAACTTTAATAAGACTGTATCATTATTTAGATTGGCTGTTGAAAAATGCTGTTCATGTTTAAAATTCACAATTTAAAAAAAATCCCAAACTACCAAACAACCACCAAGCCCAAAAAGGCCCCAGATTTTGGCTTTTTTTGTGGAAAAAAAAAGCACCAAAATTGACATATTTTCAGAGATGAACATTTGTGACTCTAATTACCCTCTAACTTCATAAATTGAGTTTTTTTCTCCTGAACTGCTATGGTTCACATTTATGTTTGTGTTCACTAACTCAGCCAATACAGCTGGTTGCTACACCATCTTCCCTGTCTAGGGGAAGTAAAACAGAGAATGCAAGCTCTGACTACTGCATTGAGCAGAACGGCACATGCTGAATAACTGCATGTTTGTGTAAAGTCTGGATTTTGCTAGACTGGGATTGGGTTGAAAATTTATCAAAAAAAGTCTCTTAGCCTGATGGTGTTATCAGACTGTTATAACTGCTTTTTGACTTTAGAACACATTTAAAAGATATCAAGAACAGAGTACAGTCATGAAAAATATATTTGTGGGTACAGAACTGTGCTGAAAGAGATTTTTATATGAATAACTGTACTATAACAAAACATTTATTTGTATTTTTTTTTCCTTTTTGCAGGGTTCAGATGTCAGTCCTGCCTGCTATACCAGACCCAAAATACCCATTTGCTGATCTCTTCAATTATCATAATGGAAACTTACAGGTAACAATCACCTTAGCTGAGCTGCAAACTCTAAAATGTTGAGAATAATTTGAAGGTAGCTCCTGATTCTTGCTCTGCACAGACATTACTACAAGGAGTCTCTGACCCAAGATAAAAGCCTCAAAACCCTCCTCCTTGTGCAGCATCACCAAGAGGATCCATGGAGCAAATGCTCATAAAATCCATTGCAGTGCTGCTTTGGGACTGTGAAAAGACACTTGCTATAGAGACAGAGAAACTGCTTGAGAAGAATTTCAGGGTGTTGAGAGGCACAATATCCAATGAAATGACGTTGTGGTGTTTGCATTCTTTCCTGCACACGATAGGTCAGGGAGCTTGCTTCCACCTGATCTTGTGCTTTGTTTGTGAAGTGCTGGCACAGTGATGGCACTCACACCTTTGGAGGTTCAGTCACAGTAGGAAACATCCACTCTTAGCCATAACATGTTCACAAAACCTTTAAAGACAGAATATCTATCAAGTGAATAGACTACAGTTTTTGCCTTTGCTTTCTTAATGCTTCTTATGAGTCCTTGACATCACATATGTGGTACAGTTTTCTGTGTTAGTTGTACTAGTGTTTACCTTAATTGCTAGTAAGTTTCCTCTAAAGGGGAAACATGAAATATTTATGGTTAAATATTTATGTTTTCAAATCCAGTGGAACCAAAAATCAGTAATAATTTTTCAGTGACAAGCTGAAAACTTTTTCTATAAAAGATAGCTTTAAATTCAAAGTGAACAAAAAAGAAACAAATTCAAATTAGCACTGAAGGATTAATACAGATATGCCATGTTGCCTAAATTTTCATCTGAATTTAGTCCTAATTTAGGTAAGTCAGTGCTTGGGTTAAACAAAGCATGATTCTATCAAACAGGGAACACCGAATATTTAAACCCATCTTTTCTAAGGGCCCTATTAAATACAAAAATGTATTTTATGTGGTTTCAAGAATGCAAGTAGGAGTTTGTATGCAGTTCTGGAATCCTATCTGCTTTCCTGCCATTCTGGTTTTTTTTTCTATTTCATGTCCTGCTTCTCTACATGGCTTCTGTTTAATCTTCTCCATTGTGGCTTATCCTAGAAATATGCCAATATGACAGGAAAGTTGGTAACTGGTATCTGTAAAACCAGGTTTCTTTTGACAGAAAACTCATCTCTGCCAACATTAACATTTTAATTTTTCTAGGAATGGCTAGACAAAAATGACCACGTGGTGTTGCAAACCAAGCTGGAATATGAAGAACCAGAGTCCATCACTGAGGCAGAAAGCCAACAAGAAGATGGGAAAAACAGTGACAAACAGGGACCTTTGGAAAAAATCTTCACTTTTTCAGGAGCAGCTGAAAATAATGATGGCAAAGCAGCTGAGATTGCCTGCCTGCTACCAGCACCCAACACTACAGCTCCTTTTGCTGGTTTCCATATTTTAATGAACGATGACATGTATGTGATGTTATAAAAGATGCATAATGCAGAAGGTGTTAGGAAATTCCATAAAAATCCTGATGAGTTTGGGAGAGTGACTGCATAGAAAAGGTCATTGTGATAAGATTCACATCAAGAAAGGCACTGGGTTGTGTTTTTAGATCTGTACTTTCCCAGCAGCTACGATCTCTTGGGCAGACTCAAGTTTTTGAAACAAAATCCTGTTAATTTATAGAGTCAGGAATTGTTCTTCTAATTGGGGTTTATCCCTAAGCCCCATTTCCCTTCTACGGAAAGAGCACAGGAGCTCCCCATATGTCAGCAGAGCTGAGATCTAATCCTTCTGCTTATGGAGTGTGTCGAGCAGGGCAAAGAACACCATTGTTCTTCCCAAATGAAGAGAGAAAATAAAGAGGTTTTGCTGTCTCATGTAAAGAGATTTTTGTTGCCTAACTTTGCATTTCATGGCATGCCTTAAAGGTTTCATAGAGAAGGAATAAGGCCCACTTCTAAGAAGGGATGAGCAAGGATGTACAGTATTGAATCACATTTCAGCCTGCAGATACTTCTGTGTAGGCAGCTTCCTCCAGAACAGCACAGCTTCAAGAGTTTCCTCAGAAGGTCATGTCCTCTGTCTTACAGTTTTTGAATAGTCAGCACCTTACAACCTTTATTTTAGAAAGCTGAAGTTCATTTTGAACAGTATTTATGTTTAACTGAGTTACATTTATTTGAAACGGGGGTTTAGTGCAATCAGCAGCTGTAGACACAAATTAGAACTTCTTATTCATATTGCTTATACTAGTCTCATTTTTCTTTAGAAAATGGGGAGTTTGGGTTTTTTAACAAGTTTAAAACATAAGTTTAGAACAATATTTTAAAGTTTTCTAAACATATAATCTTTTAAAGTATGTTTAATTTCAAATTTAAAGTGCGATTAATACTCAGCAATCAGACTTGACAAAAAAATCTTGATTATTCTGAGTTTCTCCATATCACTTATGTTACATGCTATTTGAAAGTAAATTTTGTAAAAAAAAATTAAGTGTTAAAAGTGTCTATCATCTGGGTAAGCAGATATAGTGTGATTATATGCTGAATTAGCTAGTTATCACTTGCACGTCAGTCATTAAATGGCTTTATGAGTTGACTAAGCCTTGCCAATCACATACTTTTATTATGCAAACACTCTAATTTATTGTGCAAATTGGAAATTGCACATATCAGAAAATTACAGTGATTAGTAAAATATTTAAATTCAGTGCTTAAAAAACTTCAATTCCAGATCTTTTCAAGAATAGTAAAAATAATATGGATCACAAAGTGTCAAGGTCTTTGTCTAGGTGTTACAGTTTGTTTTACAAAGAGAAATACAGATATTTACTGGGCAGTAAGTGGGAAACTTAATTGGAAGGACAGTTCAGCCACATTCCTCAAGCTTTTTTGACATTGTCACATTTGACAATTGAAATTTGACTGTTCACTAACAAGATTAACATGCTACCAAAGGATTTCCCATAATCCTGAAAACAAGTTTGCTCTGTATGTAAGTTTGAGAGGTGCTCTTTGTACACTGCCCACTTCTAGAAATTTTTGTGAACGGTAACCATGAAAAGTTTCAATAGCGCTTTAAGAACGCATTGAATTTTAAGCCAATTCAAGCTCTATAAAATTTGAGGAGCAGAAACTATCTCAGCTCAGCTCTTTGTACATTATATAAATTGCCATTTTTGCATTTGAACTAAAGAAGTTATAGTGAATTACAACAGACAAGAACCTGCTCCAGTAATGATTCTATGAATAAAGAGGGAAGTAAAGCACAGAATATATTGTATAGTTGCTTCCTCTTCAACCCACATCATATGATTGCCTGCAAAGCTAGCAACTTCAATTAAACCACTTTCTGTTGCATAACTCCTTGTCAGTCTGGATTCAAAATGTTTTAGCACATTTTCCTGAAATATTACTCTGCAAAAAAATAGAGGAGAACATCATATTGAATTGATCTGTTTCAGCAGCTGTCCTGAAGTGTTATAATCATGTAAGTTTTTAGTACAAACTATATCTCATATTGTGTTTTATAGATAGAAAGGTGTTTTGTTGTGCATGTATGCAACCACACTGACATTGTATATAACATATTAGAAATAAAACAAATAAAACACCCACATACCTCAAATATTTATTTTAAAAATGTTGCCCAAGAAGAAAATAAAACAGAGGGAATTACTTGCATTCAACAAAAGCTCCCTTCCCAACATTTAGAAACTCTACAAGAAAGTCTACAGGGAGAATAAACACACAATTTAAGGAACAGGAAAGGTCTTGCCCCAGGTGCTGATGATGATTCTATCAAACACAGTAGGAGACACATGCCAGATTAACCATGCCCACTGTTAGAGGGTATTGGAGGCTTCCCTAACCACCCCTTGCCATCTGCCACTTTCTACCATTTTGCCATCCTCTCTCCTCTCCTCTCCTCTCCTCTCCTCTCCTCTCCTCTCCTCTCC